CATCGTGTAGCATAGCTCTCAACGAATGTAGTCCTGTAAATAAATGAATAGAGAAATTCGAACCTGCGACCTCTCGCTGTCAAGGCGAGCGTCATAACCCTTAGACCACGGAGGCTTCATGGTTGAACCGATTCAAATGATTTATATATAAATGTTGGTTAAAGCGTGCATATACAATAAGAAATCCGGGTTCGAACTGGTTGGAGCTAATACTTGACACTCGCATATTCGTTTGATATATATATATATATATATATATATATATATATATATATATATATATATATATATATACATACATACACACACATACATATATATATATATGTATGTATATGTATATGTGTGTATGTATATGTGTGTATGTATGTGTGTGTATGTGTGTGTGTGTATGTATATGTGTGTATGTGTATATGTGTGTATGTGTATGTATGTGTATGTGTATGTATGTGTATATGTGTATGTATGGGTATATGTGTATGTATGTGTATATATGTATGTATGTGTATATATATGTATGTATATATACTGTATATATATGTATGTATATATATATATATGTATATATATATATATGTATATATATGTATGTATGTATATATATATGTATATATATATATGTATATATATATATATATATATATATATATATATACATACATACACGGTACATTATAACTCAACACGAATCTCCAACGAAAGTTGGTTAAAGCGTGCATATACAATAAGAAACCCGGGTTCGAATTCTGGTTGGAGCTAATACTTGACACTCGCATATTCCTCTTGTTTCAATTCTATTTTCACTTAACCTATATCAAAGTTACTGTATATTGCAAATATTAAATTGAATAATACAATTATCCAATATAGTTTTATTCTATACATTTTTTCTCTCGTAATAATCGAAACTATGATCTTTCTATCATAAACGTAATCTTGAATGTAACTTTCGAAGGCTTCACACTGCCTTTATCATAAGCCATTTATATGTTATACCAATTCAATGAAGAAGAATGCGATACAATTTAAGTTCATTATAGTTGACCTTACATAATATGAAAGATTCCAACAATCAAACACTTCACTAATATGACTTATAATTCTTCAATACAAAGTGCAAGATGAGGTTATTTAAAAATTAACTAAAAACATTTCTCCGAATCGTAGGCTATACATACACCTGTACTATGAGAAAGGAAGCAATGCTCATAATCATTAGGTGAAATCTTCAATTACAATGAGTAGACAAATATCTTCCGTTCCAATGATGATGAACATGTTTATTTAGGCATAGTAGGTTATAAGAAAGGGACTGCACCGTACTGTAGGCTCTTATATAAATGAAAACACGGGATATGTGGGCCTACGTGTTAATGTTATAATACTGTATACAAGATAGACCAAGAGTAAAATGCCAGCCTAACGATGGGCAGTGCAATGCAGTCTGTAATTTGCTGGACTCTTTTTTATGAACCTTTTATCGATTTTATGAATTTTGTATGTGCTGTATATATTTTTATGATGTTGGATAATATCAAATAAAATCAAATCAAATCAAGTCGGTATGAATTATATCGCTAGTGTATGTCTCTGTTGTTATACTTGTATCCACAAGGAACAATCTCTGTGAATACATAAAAATGAAGCTACAGTACCGGTACATGTTAGGTCTCTGTTGTATATCCCAAAAATTAAGTTGCTCATCAAAACTTTAATAGGCAAATACTTGAAATAATTAACTATAATCGAGCGCGCATAAATGATGTTATGCTACGCGATTTATCACAGCCCGTCACAGGATGCGTAGGAGAACTTAGTTTAAATCAAGTAAGGTCCTATTCGCTAAGCTCCACCCATTGACTATTGTCTAAAGCCGGTTTTTTTAACTAGGCGAATTTATTCGCGCGAATCGAAGGCGTCGGTTCGGTCCTGAGCTCTGATTGGTTGCGAACATTTTTCGCTTCGCAAAAAGTAGAAAGAGTTCGAACTACCAATTTCGCTGAAGCGAAAACTCCGATAGAAATTTAAATGCGAATGCGCATGAACGACGCTTTCAATTCGTGCGAATAAATTCGCCTATTGGAAAACCGGCTTAAGGTCCCACAAAACGACAGCGTTAACGACGTACGGTATGCCTACGTACCTTTGTTGAAAAAAAAATTGTGGGACGTGCACGTATTCCCGGCTCTGTTCTGATTGGTCAGTTATTTTGATTCACACTCTGGAAAGGTTCATTGTGGGCAGTGGTGGCGCCAGCGGTGGGAAAAGGGGGGGGGGGGGTTGGGGGGGGCGGACAGGCAAAATAAAAAAAAAATTAATTGAAAAAAAAAAAAAAGTAAAAAAAAAAAAAAAAAAAAAAAAAAAAAAAAAAATAATAATAATAATAATTTGCCTATCTAATTAACGCTATTTTGTTTGCCCGGTCCCAAATATTGTGGTATAAAAGCATTTAGGATCAAATTAGGCCATAAAAACTCTCCGGGCCGTCGATTGAGGCTTCGTCGTCGACTTGGTTTGGACCCCTCCGTCGGACACGTCGGAACATTTGTCGGCAAATTTTTGGCGCCACCGCTGATTGTGGGTACATTTCGCCCTCCAATTCGAGACCTCCTTTGGAACCTGAAAATTTGGGGTGGTCTCGGGTTCGGTCTCCACATTAGCTTAGCTTAACGTAGATGGAAGATTGTAATTTGGTTCTTTGGAAAAGTGGTCTCGAATTAGAGTGGTCTCGAGTTTAGAGGGGTATCAAATTGAAGGGTGCACTGTATCTACTTTCATCGAACCAGAAACTAGGCCTACATTTAATAATTAAATAGGCATTTTAAACGGACGGAAGTTCGTGGAAACGCATAGCCTAGGCCGTTAATACTTATTAAACAACCGCTACGTCTAAACACACTGACAAGCATCTGTAGAAAACACCGACTTATAATTACAGTAGTTATTTCATTTATGAGAAAGGAGTGTGTTGTTGCATTAATTATGATTGCTTTCTGCCAAAATCAAAATCCTTCCCGTATAAATTGTAATAGTAAGAAGCTCTTAACTTACGCCCGACGATACTTGCTATTTCTCATTCAGTCTTGCTTGGTTTCCAGCGGCGGATTGAAGGAGG